GCGGCCATTGCAGCTCTCGACCCAGCACAAGCGCCTGCATTTTCTCGCTCGAGCACCCAGCGGGCGACTCGGCGGGACGTGACACCCGGCAGCACCAGGAAAACCACCACGGACGAGCGGTGAATCCCCGACCCCAGCGTCACCCAGTGCTGACCCCCGAGCGAGGTGCTGCCCCCCGCGGAAGGCGCTGCCCCCCCAAGCGAGGTGCTCCCCGTCGCGCTCCTACCTTGCGTCCACGCTCGGGCGCTTGTTTGTGCTTTCACTGCCGGCACACCCCGGGCTGGCAGCTTAAAGGATTTTCCTATAATAACCACCAAATCCCTCCCCTGGGCAGTAAGCCGCAGACCTGGGCCCTTTCCTAGGTACAGAGCGATCACGGTGCTCTGCTTGCTCGCTGCTTTGCATATGCTTGTATCAGACTGGATTTCCCCCCTCCTGACCCAGACCAGTGCTTAAAAAGCCCTAAATCCCCTTGAATTTCATTTCCCCTTGTCTGCGAGGTCTATCCCCGGTTTCAGTCTCACCCACATATTTTACATACTCCTGCTTGCAATCCTGACGTGAGCTTTCTGTGAGCTTTGGTGTCCTCCCCCCGCAGAGGCTGGGCAACCCCTGTGTCCTGCTCAGAACAGCCGCCGCCTCGGCCGGGAAATGAGCCACTGCTCGGTGCGGCCGTGGCTCCGCTTGGGATCCGGCACTGCCAGAGGCTTCACCCCGGCACCCCCACGCCACAGCCCCTTGCTGCTGCTGGGGCTGGTGCAGAGAGAGGGGGCCAGGCTGGGGACGACGGGTGCTGGGGACGGCGGTGACAGACCCCTGTCCTGGCAAACTCCCCCTCCGCCACCGTGCCCACGGGGCGCTGAGTGCCCCCGAGCTGTCCCCGAGAAAGAAATGACCCAAAACTGTCCCCAGGGCACGTCCCCTGGCGCAGGGGATGCTTATTCAGTCATGCAAATGAATTTCAGTAGTGGCTCCTCTCCCCCCATAACAATTCTCTCCCCGAGAGGATCTCTGCTGGCAGATGAGGCTCTGCTGGGTACACACACGCCACACGCTGCTATTTCACGCTGTCTTGTTTCACTTCTCTTTTTTGATTTCACAGTAAAAAGTAGACAAAGTTGGGAACTGGCAGCTGCAGCAGCTTTCAAGGTTACAGGCAGCAGCAGTGGCAGAAACAGCAAGTTCCTCTGCCT